CCTCCTTTGCCTCCACTTGCATTTTGAAGAGGCATTTCAGATCGCTTTGCTGTGCTCGTGAGGAACTCACGCGTGGACCAGCGGAGAGGTGGTTGTTGAAACAGAACTCAGGGACAAGGCCTGCTTTCGGGGAAGGGAGGGATAGGGGTGTATCAGAGCAGAGCATGCTGTCCTGCCACCCTCCTGCCACCTGGATGCCGAGCGCATCATCTGAGCAGCTGCACTGTGTGAAGAGGAACGTGCGTCAGGATGGGAGGGAGGCTCATTAGCGACCTGTGACCTGCAGATGACACAACCTTGCTTGATGGAGCTTGCAAAGAGCGCTTGCAGCCCTCGCTGATAGAGGAGCACAAACCACAGCCCTCGGTCTGGAGCACAGCCCGACACGGAGAGACCCAAGATGCTCTCTCTGCCTCGGCGTTCTTGGGAACGCTCCCTTCTCCCACGTCTTGGCTGCTGGGACTCAGGTCCTGCTTCCTGGGCTCAGGGCCCCTGCCTCACTCCCGCTTCCTAGAAACTTGCTCACCAACCTGAGGGGTCAGCTCCGCCCAGCTCACTCCAGGACTCCTACCTTCCCTCTGCCCCACAGCCACGCTCACGCTCCACTGGGTCCGACTCTAGGCCTCTACCTTCCATACACCCAGTGGTAGCAGCAGTGCCAACACAGAGCAACGTTCCCAACCGTGCCAGGGTGCACTCGCCCAGTTGTGTCTGCCCTGAAGAGCCTCCTTCTGGCAGCTTGGTTACTCATCCATCCATCAAGCTGCCACTCAACTGCCATTCCTGCACGCCCACCTCAGCCGTCAGTCACTGCTTTCAAAAGCAGCTCTGAAGACAACTTGATGCCCTTATCCCGGGCACACGGCCACTTCAGTGCTTCCCATCACCTACCCTAACCCAGTCATACCCTCTTCCTTTCTGGCTGGAAAACAACAGGTGTCTTCCTCCAGACCCTGCCCAGAGCACTCCCTCCCAGAGTTCGTGTGGCTGGCGCTTCCCTGCATCCAGCTGTTGGTCAAACTCCACTTGGCCCAAGAGGCCTCTTCCTGGCCCCGTGTCCAAAGCCTGGCAGAGCATCTGGAGAACGGTTGGTCACGATTGTTGAGGACAGGCATGCACACCCCACCTGCCCCTCTGAGGGCCCACTGGCCTCAGTGACAGCAGCCCCTGGCTGCTCCCTGCTCAGCCCCCCAAAGGGCCCAGGCCAGCCTGCTTCCTTGGCTGAAGGTAAGACAGAGAAGAGAGCAGAGCCCCAGCCGCCCGGAGGCGGCGCCGGCAGCACCCACCTCGGAACGTGTCGTACCAGACCTTCTTGGCCTTGAGGTGCTGCAGCCCGTTCAGGTGCTTCTTGCGGTTGTGGAGGCTGTCCTGGAAGGAGCGGTCGCAGTAGTCGCAGAAGTAACGCTTCCCCATGGTGCTGCTGCTGCCACCTGGGAAACCACAGAGCACTCAGCAGGCCCCGGGAGGAAAAGCCACACACAGCGCAGCCCACGGTGCACCGGCCTGGACCACGCTCGAGGTGGGCTGCCCTGGGCCGAGGCTTTGCTCACCGACACCTGCTCAGTGAGAGGCAACCCCACGGAACCCAACCCACCGCAGCCCAGCCCCCCACCAAGTCCTAAGAACAGAGCAGAACTGCCCGTGCGGTCTCTTTAAAAAAGCAGACGAAAATAAGAATAATTTATAAATTATCAAGGGTTTGTGAAGGAGGGAGGGGAGGGGAGGGAGGGGAAATAATGAGAAGCTGATCCCAAGGGCTCAAGTAGAAAGCAAATGTTTTGAGAATGATGATGGCAACA